TTTCTATCAACAAGAACAAAAAACTTAGAATGGATGGGGAGAAAAAGGGGGTGAGTTTAACTATTAATGGATGGGTATAAATTGGATTGGATTTAATCAATAATGGGGTGTATATGGATAGGATGAATTTAATAATTTGAAATTACAAAATTAAATAGGATGAGAAAAAATATTGAAAGGTTGAAAATAGTCACACCCTATTCATTTATGCTTTTGAGTTTTAGGGTTAAATTGCCTTTTTTTTTTTTTTTTTATGTGAGATTGATAAATAGTGATGAGGGAGAAAAGTGGATTGATTGTGTTCTACAACCACAGAATGTGGAGGCTGGTGGCATCAATTGGAGTTTATCTTACAGTTGAGTCAAACTTTCAATAGATTGTGATGGAAGGTGACACGAAAACAATTAATTAATGATGCAATGAAGTGAAGATAGATGAGTGTATTTGAGTTTCTCTATTTCATGGATCAAATTCATTTGTATTGGAGGGATAATGAGAGTGGATTTTTTTTTAAATGAACTTTTAAAGATGAATTTTTAAAAAATATTAATATTTTGTAAACGTGTACTTAAAAGTGCTTATAAATCTAGAAGTTCATATTATAATATAAAATTGAGTTTGGTGGCAATCTCAAAAGTATAAAATGACACTTGTTTAACAATCTTACCCTTAATCTTATCGTAAATATCTCTATTTTAATTTTAAAAGTTATTTTCTATTATTTTTGGAAATTCTGTCATATATACAAAATAAACAAATTAGGGGGAAAAGGCTTGAAAAGCCTCCCCTTCACATTTCTAAATTTCCTATATTTTTGTGTTTTTTTTTTTCAATTATCATACCAAGGTTTCCTTCAGTTACATTCTACCATGTGTCATTTATAACCATTTCGTAACTCTTACTATTTTTTTAAAAATTTAATTGCATAAAACTATTTTTTTTTCTATTCAATAATTTAGTATTATTCTTTTATCTATCTTGTTACATAAAAAGATGAAAGAAAAATAAATTTTAAAATGACAAAAAAATATCATGTGTATCGCACGAGCGATAACGCAAGTAATTTAATTAAAGCAAATATATTTAAAACTTAATAATTAAACAAGAAAGCTTAATGAAAAACCATAGTTTTCTCCATGAAAATAAATACAACTATGTTTTCACTTTTTTTCTTGTGTGGGTATGTAAAACAATTATCCTATAATGTTAAAATAGGGATTTATGGTAAAAAAAAAATGAAGGATAATAGAGTAATTTGGTTCATTAGCTAAAATTACGGAACCCACTTACCCAAAAGTTTTAAAAGCAACGTCTGTTGACGTAAGTTTCACCTAATAGAGGGGTCTTCCTGTTAACTTTTCAAAAAGTTAGAAATTAATGTTACGCCAAACCCAAGAAATAATTGGAGCATGTCTTCACTCTTGACTAATTGTTTATTATACCCAAACTAAAAAAAGAAATTCAACATCAAAAACTAATGACAATTGAAAGTACAACAAGCTCATTGATTGTTAAAAACAAGTACATGTAGGAAGCTACCCTCTCCAATGTTCCAATGTTACCAGCAATCGAACATGTACACTACTTGGATTGAAAAACATACCAAAAATTTAAAAAAAAAAAAAAATCATTCGTTGAATATAAAATACTATTATCCCCACAAGCGTACCTATTCTCCCACTCTAGGAATATTTTCATGAAAACAACTTCTTTGCTACTTATAAATTGATAACTTATCTACTTGTATAACAAGATTATATATAGACATGATAGTTCTAGACACAATTTACAATTTCAACAATTAGTCAATAGTATTAGGAATTTCTATTTAGCTTTAGCAAATTCATGTGATGACAAATAAATTTGTTATACTCATCATATATGGAGATCGACAAAAACCCATCTAAACATCACATGGACACAGAATAAGCACGTGGTCGGTTCCCCTGCCCCCCACACTTCAGAAAAAATGGACTATGATATTATTACAAATTAATTTTTAAAATTGTGAGTATGAATCAATTTGTAAATTTTTATGCAAAATTATATATATATATATATATTGGCAATGTTATCTATACAATTCAAGATTTGACATGAATGATAATTTATCTAATGATCCAAGCATGGTTGAGTTAAAAAAAAATTGGATCGTTTTAACAATTCTACTACGACATGATTCCACATGTCACCTGTCATTTCGGTGCTCCATCAAATGTGGGCCAAAATACAAAACCCAAAATTTGGGCAACGCAACACAATCCGATTGTTGACACGTATCAATAATAAAGTATATGAGCCAAAGTACGTAAGGTATGACCCATTCATACATTATTAATGCCCTTCCTAATAAGTTAGCAATAACGTTAAATAAATTTAATAATTTTAACCATTAAATAGGTAATGAGTTTCAATAATTTCAACCAGTGAATATGTAATTTATTGGGACTCACTGTAAAATTAATAATTTTAATTATTAAATTTAATTTTTAAATTTATATAGCATTAGTTTAGTATTCATTCAATGACAGGGATACAAGGCAAAGTTTGTACACCCCGAAAAATTTGTCTCCATTATCTGCCAGAGAGAAATGGGAAATGGAGAATGATTGACGTTAAATATTGCACCGTTACACACGGTCATTTACGCGTACGCCTACCCTGGTTGGTTCGGGTTCTATTCAACAACATTTTAATCTTTTTTTATTTTATCAAAATAATATCGCAATTCAGTGGTCTATAATGATATAAGGGTCATAGTCAGGGTTCCGGCTGCTCTACAATTAATAGCTTACAGCAATGCATACAGTTTAAGAAAATGACAGAATTTTGGTGTTCTTGTGGGCTTTTTTTTTTTTTTAAACACTTCGACGTTGTTTCTGGTCTTCCCATATCAGAAAAACAGAAATCCTTTCTTCGTCAATTACCCAAATCCCTAACCCTTCTTTTTCAAAATTTCTCCAAATCCCTCCTCCTTCGCTTACAGTTTTCTATGTCATGTGCCATATTGCCATGAAAAATTGCCAGCATGCTGAATATCTATAATGTGTTGAAGGCTGTCCAGATTGCCAACGTCCCACTTTTATAAAGGTTGATCACTGAAAATCTATAATTAAAAGATCCAAATCTCTTTTATTTTGTACATGGGTTGATGGGTTTGATTGAATTTTTTTTATTTTTCTGATTTAAATTCCCACCTTGATGGGTTTAATTTTTTTATTTTTTAGGCTTATTTTTCTGGTTTTGTAATCTGAATTGTGTGGTTAATGGGTTAAATTTTTCTGATTTAAATGTATTACATGAACTTAATCGTCCTCAGTATTATTAGTATTATTTGAACTTGTCATTCAGGCTTAATTTTTTTTTTGTAAGCATGACTGTTTTAGTTGGACCAGAAGCCACGTTGTTTTCTAGAGTGTTTAAAAAAAAAAAAAAGAGAAGGAAAATTTGTCAATTCACACACACACACTGTGATGTACTTATATGCCCGGGATGCTAAACAAGAAAGAGAAGGAAAATTTATCAATACAAAGAAAGAAAGAGAAGAAAATTTTATCAATACAGAGATAAACTTAGCATATTCTTAAGAGTAGATTGTACTCCTTAAGTTTGAAACGCAGTACAACAGGTTATACAAGACTACTATTCAAGATCCAACTACCATTGTTACATACATGTTCACTTAAACATATGAATATATTGTGAACAACTCTTCATCGTCCATAAATTGAATAAAAAAATTCACAAACCAATATAATTGGAATGGGTAGCAAAGAGGTAGGGTATGTGTAACATCCTTTTCTCTCACTCTCTCTCTTTCTCTCTCTCTCTCTCTACTAACCTTTGAACCCACAACCTGGGGTTGGAATTTTTATGGAACTTGAGTTTGAGTTTTGAGATTAATTTGTGCATCTGGGTTTGGTATTAACTTAGGGTACATTTTAGTGTTTGCATAATTGATTTCACATGTTCCAGATACAGGTGTGTGTAAAATCTGTACTATTAACAAAGGAAGAGAAGGGGTTTGGTGTACTCATTGTAAAATATCTAAAATACTATTTAACCACTCTTAACCATACATAATTTCTCATATTTGTCGGTTTTTTTAACATTCTTACATCTCTAGTCATATCTCACTCTTTTGTAATAGCACACACGGATGTGTAAGGCTCCTAATATATATAATTGAATTTGAGATAGTTTGTATTAGACTTAATTTTGATTGAGTTATATTTTTAGAGAGTTGAATTTAGGTGTGTACTTATTTTACGTGCGTAAAATAACGGGGCAGTAAGTGATTAAAAAAAGTGACATTAGGGAAAGAGGGTGATGCGAATAGATTGGTATAATATTTGTCTAATCACACGACTTACAGGATGACTTTCGAATTTTTCTTTTTTTTATCCTAGTCTTTTTAAACTCTATGAGCTACTTTTAATTTTTAGACTTGGTTGAAAATTTCCTTTTATAGCCTCCTTCTCGATACTTGATCATATTTTAAAAGTAGGGAAGGTGGCATTGGAAGTGTTAAATTAAACAAAGCAAGTAGGAAGCTTCCCTCCCACACGTTAAGTCATCAAACATGTCAGCCACAGACATGTCCCTATAGCATCGCCCTATTTTATATATAATATAGCTCCCTTGCTCTTCAACCTTCTGTCCAACAACCTGCTCTCTCTCTCTCTCTCTCTCTCTACTCCATCCCCCTCTGTGTGTGGCCACCATGGTTATCTCCAAGACTGCATCCCAATCCGACGTCTCCGTTCACTCAACTTTCGCTTCTCGATATGTTCGAACCTCGCTGCCCCGGTAATCCAATCTTAATCTTTCAAACTAAATCTCGGAGATCTGAAATCACCCGTTAATCCAGTTTCTTGATCTGTCTTGCTGAGTTTCCGATCAGTTTTTCATTTTCCTTTGCTTTTCTGTTTCTTTTTTCTGGGTCTTGATCATCTGATTATGTACTGAAAAATGACATGAGTAATTGTCTCAGGTTCAAGATGGCGGAAAATTCGATCCCGAAGGAAGCAGCGTTCCAGATCATCAACGATGAGCTGATGTTGGATGGAAATCCGAGGCTGAATTTGGCATCCTTTGTGACGACATGGATGGAACCAGAGTGTGACAAGCTCATCATGTCTGCCATTAACAAGAACTACGTTGACATGGATGAGTACCCTGTCACCACCGAGCTACAGGTAAGTCATCATATATTGCAACACTCTACTCCTATCAATTCATAGTTTAATAATAAAGATGAAGAAACCCTAAACCTATGATAAGAGCAATGCTATTCACCCTTATCATCAAATTATAAGTCTAAGTAAAATTAGAAAGAGCTTTTTTTTTTTTTTTATTGTGGACTTGGTGTTTTCAATTAGTCAACTTCCATTTAGATCTGTCATTTGACCAATAAGAGTGGGAGGGATGGTTGATGGATCAAAAATATATGCGGAGACTAGATGGTGGATCCAATACGTTTTTTTTTTTTTTTGGTCAGTAAATATGGTCATTAAGAGGAAAGTGTATTGTAGATATTTTGAGAGTTCATCCTCTTCCTTTATTAATAATAATATAAAAAAAATATACATTTAATATAAAAAAAAATTCATTTATTATTTTTTTTTTGAGGGGAAGTAATTTAAACCCTTGAAATTACTATTGAACCAATCTCAGTTTATCTCGGAAAACTCCATAAAAAAGGATCAATATTTCAAAATAAAATGAGGCCGGGCTCAATCCCAATCATACCTGAGAATGATCTTTGTAATCTAGATTCGAATTTGATCACAAAAATCTTAACCCATTTGTTTTCATATATATATATATATATATATATATGTGTGTGTGTGTGTGTGTGTGTGTGTGTGTGCGCGCGCGCGCGCGCGCGCTACTGACCTAATTTTGAGCCGCGAATATAGGCCACGCCATGACAGACCAACCAATCCTGACACTTCTTTGTTTATTCTAAAGTTTTCTAGCTATTATTTTTCTATTCATTTTCGGAATAATTATATTCCACTAAAAAGAACAATCCAATACATAAGAGATTCTCGTCATCTTGATGAGGTTCCACACTTAGTGTAACAACTTAAAAATAAGGTGTTCAAATTTTCAGTTAGCGACAAATTTCAATTTTATTTTACCTTATTCGATCTTATTAATCAATTATTCGAAAAAAATTAAATAAGCTAATAGAAGATCTTTTGATATTTTTGCAAAAAATCGAGTAAGTATATAGAATACATATAAATTTTTTGTATTTTTATCCTACTCTACCCGTGTGTGTTGGCGTGTCTATATATATATATATATTAATCTCTAAAAATTAAAAATCTAAAAATTCTAATATTTTATTGATGTTTATGACTTTCTTATATATGATGTATCGATGTTTATAACTCACTTGTTGTGTTTTATTGTAATTGTTTATGTATTATCAAATTTATTGTGTTTTCTTTAGTGTTATTGATTTATTGTGTTAGTTAATTAATATAAGTTACTTAATTAAATTGTTAAAATAATTTAAAAATTAATAATCAAAAAATATGTGTTCACCTGATTTCTTATACGACTTCGTACCCGATTATTTTAGATGAAATTCAGGTAAAAATAGTATGATTGATTTGGTAGTATAGACTAAAAATTTTTTTTTTATAAAATATCATATAAAATAATAAAATATCTTAATTTCTGTACGTAGGATAGGACTAACGCGCTTTACTTAAAAGTCGCTTCAAGACGCAAGTCCAATTATGTTTTCTACTACTAGAATATAATATTCTTTTCCCGGATTGACCCGGTAAGCAATTGGAGTTTGGTATTATTGCGTATTGATTTTAATCTAATTAGATCTTGTCAAAGTCATTTCTGTCGGTCATCTGCCATCTGAATCGTTCAATTTCTGTAGTTTTTCAATTGGATCAACGGTTGTGATCATTGTCTTTGGCCGAGTCTTTTTATTGAATTGACCAGTAGTCTAGAAGAATCCTACACAAAGGCGTTTCCTATTTTATTTCCTCCCTTACTCAACGGACCACTACGGAAAAGTCAAATTATCCGGATGCACTGTTTGGAAAGGAAGGTAAAAGAGAATTAATTCATGTCGGTCTAAGTTCATTCGAATATCTTTGATTATGATATTAAAAAAAGAAGAATATAAAATTGGTCAATTTGGCATAACTACATTGATTATGGCAACATGAGATGTGATCTCAATAAAATAAAATTATTTAAGAGCGATTTTAAATTTTTTTTAACTCATAATTTGATCCTATTGTTGTGGTAATTCATTTTTGGGATTGTAATTTGACCTTATTAAATTACTAGTTATTTCNAAAATAAAATTATTTAAGAGCGATTTTAAATTTTTTTTAACTCATAATTTGATCCTACATAATTTGATCCTATTGTTGTGGTAATTCATTTTTGGGATTGTAATTTGACCTTATTAAATTACTAGTTATTTCCTGTGTCTGAACGCATATAGTAATAAAAAAAATGGTTAACAATAAATATATTTATATTAACAACCAAAATTAAATCTCAAATATAGATGAGAGAGAAAGAATTTAAACACCGGTTGTAATGGTGGTGGAAGACGGTAATGGGTGTTTCTGAGCGACAGTGTAATGAGTGGTAGCAAATGCGGTGGCGATAGTGGTAGGTGTGGTGGGAGGTGGGTGATAGTGGCTGGCGATGATGGTGAGTGATGATTGGTGGTGGTGGTGGTGTGGTAGTGGGTGGTGGTGGTAGGTACTAACGGTGGACGACTGTGATAGTTAGATGATGGTGGTAATAATAATAAATATAAGAATGAGATAACAATGATGGTGGATGATGGCAGTGGACGATAGTGCTATAAATCGGGTGGTGGGTGGCAATGATGGTGGCAGTGGCGGTGGACGGTAGTGCTAGAAATCGGGTGGTGGGTGGCAATGATGGTGCCAGTGGCGAGGTAGTGATTGTGGTGGCAATGGTGGTGGGGTGGCTATTATGGTGGTGGTGGTGGTGGTGGTAGTAGGTTGGCAGTGGAAGTGGTGGTTGTGGTGGTGGGGGTGGTGGTGATGAGGCAATGACAGCAATAGTGGTGGTGGCGGTAACAGTAGTGATGGTGGTGACAACAATCGTAATGGTGGTGATGGTGGCAAATGTTGTGGTGGGGTGGCCGGCCGCAGCGATGGTGGGGTTGGTTGCGGTGGTGGTGGGGCGGTTCCAAACACAATTTTTTTTAAAGTACTTATGAGAGGTTATAAGTTCTAGAAACACTTTTAAAAAGTTACTCCAAACACACCCTTAGAGTCTTGTTTTCTCTATTAAATTTGGGATGTTAATATTAACCGTTGAATTAACTTTAAAGTAAAATTTAAAGAGATCTCAACCGCAAAAAGTAAAAGTCATTTTATTTATCTTTTAAAATTTGAATTGTATTGTACTTTATTATATAGATAATTAATCTTCATTAAGTTATAACTTTTGATATTTACCCGATATCATGATCCTTTTTTCCTCTTAAGGCCAAGTGTTATTTTTGAACGCAAAGAATGTTCTTGTTGGAGATTAAGCTTAATTGGATTTTTATGTCATGGGTTCGAACCCTGCAAACAATTTATGCATTTGGAGTAAGATTATCTATATCTCATCTTTTCGAGACTATACAGTGACGGGAATCTTGTTTAGTGACTAGCAATGCTGTCTTCAAGTTTTGTTACATTTTATTTTTCAAAAATTGAGATGCATGACTTGGAATTTTTATGCATACAGAACCGGTGTGTGAACATGATAGCTCACCTATTCAATGCACCACTGGGAGATGGAGAAGCTGCAGTTGGAGTTGGAACAGTGGGGTCATCAGAGGCCATAATGCTGGCTGGTTTGGCATTCAAGAGAAAGTGGCAGAACAAGATGAAAACCCAAGGCAAACCCTGGGACAAACCCAACATTGTCACTGGTGCCAACGTCCAGGTATGCCCAAATTCCCCCCCCCCCCC